AAAGTAAAGAAGCCACACGACCTTCATCAAACCATGGCTCGCGCTCGGACACCCGCGTTGCCGTGAAAACTCGGATTATCGTGGTCTCGCAAATGCCTCCTCGCTAATCCTTTGGGGCTAGCTATAATTCTTCACCGAGTACCGGCTCCCAGCAGATGTCTCCCCCTATCACCCATTGTCAACAATAGCTGAACAATGACAACCTGTTGGAACGATAAGATAACAAAGGTTATCAAAGTGGGAAATGAGACGACCAATAGGCATTTACAACCCCATAGAATATTCTAAAAGTAAATAAGCGAATCAATAGCGGCATAGGGGCGACACGCACGTGGCCAGAGGGTACGCACACAGCGGGATGGTAACAACTTGCAGAGATGAGAGAGGAGATGCTCTCTAAAACTCATCGGGAGAGGCTGTTTGATTTTCAATTAGAAAAGACGCATTTCTTTACAAAAAATTTAGATCTGTGACTGTTTTAAATCGCAACTTGAAAGCTACAAAGTTTTCGCTTCACCGGATGCCATTCTCTCTGGAACCAGTGCATTATTTGGAACTATTATCAAGCGAAATAACCACGTCAACAGAATTTATTCCGTTCTGCGGACGAAGGCCAGAACGTCCGAAAAGCACTTGTCACAGTGAGCAACCTGCCACGTCGTGCATTCCGACGCGGGTAGAGTGATATATGACGGCCGTGCCCATCGAGAAAAAAACACCATCATCGGTACAAGAACGAGGGCCTTCAATCCAGTCATCGGCGCGTGCTGCGGACACAGGACCGTTCCAGTGCGACGCGAGCCCGCGCCAGCCCTTCGTCTTGCGGCATCGCCTGGCTTGCACGATTTGAGCACGAATTTAGGACGACGACGAGCAATTCTCTACGGCGGGGTAACCCAAACTTATCATTATATGCTCCTGTCCGAAAAGGCAGTCACGCCAGTGGACAAATAAGGGGATTGCAAAGTTACAAAGGTATTAAATGTCCATGAAACAGAATAGTGTCATTTTGAAAAAAATGTGTGCCCGCCATTCTGACGGACGACACTTAAATCATCAAATGAAAGTTTTTTAATTAATAAGTTAAGAGCATGCGCATTTTCC